CAAATTATTGAAGTACTTGTATTTGGGAAGTGGTGACAAAGATACTGTCCTTGACCAAACATTTAGTCAAGCTCCTGAGATTGACTAGGCCCTGTTTTCGGGCATGTCCTCCAAGAGCCCACTTTTAGCAAGAATCTGGTCAAGTAGATTTAGCCAGATCTCCGACCTTTGATATCTGATCACCCTCCTTATCTGGTCTGATTTCTCATCCCCCACCATCCCCCAGGCGATGTGTCATCACTGTGATCTGCCTTCAGCAAGAATCCTGTTAGGCTGGTTTGGCTAGAAGCCCCCTTCCCCTGATCAATGTTTCCTCTTACTTCCTCCAGCAAAACCTCATTGCAGGGGTCCTTATACTTATTGCGACAGCCCTGAATAAAGTCTGCCTTACTGTCTTAACGAGTGTCATGGATAGCTGTCATTTGCAATTCCTAATTTATATATCCCTATGTTTTCATTTTTCACATAGATCAGTGTTACTATTTTTTTAAACAGCTTTCTTGAGGTATTATATATGCCATAAAACACACCTATGTAAGTACACAATTTAATAAGTTTTAGTACTTTCGCAGAGTTGTGTGACCATCACGATCCAATTTTAGAACATTTCTGTCTCCCTAAAAAGGCTCCTGCTTGTTATTTGCAGTTGACCTTCACTCCCATCTCCATCTCCAGCCACTACTGAACTGCGGCTGGTCCGAATGGATTTGCCTTTTCTGGAAATTTCATCTATAGCAGTCCCCGCTGTCCATGAGGGGACTTGTATGTGCTCTAAGACCCCACTAGACATCTGAAACCACTATAGTACTAAAGCCATATGTACTGTTTTACTCTATATGTACGAACCTATGATAAAGTTTAATTCATAAATTACGCACGGTAAGAGATTAAAAGAAATAACTACTAATAAAATAGAACAACTGTAACAATATACTCTAATAAAAGTTATGTGAATGTGATCTCTCTCTCTCTCCTAACTGATCTGATGACAGAGAAAGTTACTAATTGACTGACGGGAGGGCAGACAGCATGGACACACGCCACAAAGGGGTGATCCCTTTCCTGTATGGAACGGAGCAGGACAGCGCGAGATAGCATCATGCTATCCGGAACTGTGCGCCATTTAAAACTTATTGTTTATTTCAGGAATTTTCTATTTAATATTTTCGAATCACAGCTGACCATGGGTGGCTGAAACTGCAGAAGCGAAACTGAGGGCATAGGGGACTCGTGTAAATGAAGCCTAAAAATATGTGGCCTTCCAGAGCTGGCTTCTTTCACTGTTGGAGGTTTCTCCATGCTGCAGTGTGGATCAGCAGGTTGTGCCCTGAGCCGTTGGCTAGCATTCCGTTGTACAGATGTACCACATTTGCCTTATCATCCACTTCTCAGTCCTCGTGGATTGTTTATGGCTTCGGGCTATTATGAGTAATGCTGCTATGAACATTCACACACAAGTCTCTGTGTAGACAAAAGTGTTAATTTTTTTATCAGAAAGAAAAACAAAAATAAAGGACCAAAATGGGTTCTCAAGCTGTTTCTGAAATGCATCACCTTTTACCAGAATGGGAGCTCCATGAGTAGGGTCCAAGTTTTAAAATGAGGGGACAAAGAAGTGGGATCCTGGGCAGGCTCTCCCTGGCCCTGACCGGGGCACCGCCCAGGAGCAACAAATAGGGACGGTGGTTCCACTTCTCTGGGAGCTGCTTATATGCATGTGGTTCCTCCAAAACCTCTGAACACACATCTCGTCTCTTCCACTGCAGCTCTGATACAGATCTCAACCCAAACATCAGTTCTCCTCCTTGAAAGTCCTTTAGTCCAAAAGCAGCACATTAAGGAAACTCCAGTCACCTAACTCTGCTGTGTTTAATAAAAGTTCGCCAAGGTGCTTTGTTTTCATAGTGGTCCCTGAGAAAGGCCTGAAGCCTGGTGCGACACAATCGGCTGAGTTATTAAGATTTACCAGTTTGTGTTTTTAGGCTGAGTCCTTCCCCAGTGTGCAAAGATCAAAAGTCACAGCTGTGAAGGGAAAGCGATCCGAAAACCACCTAAGAGAGGATCTAGTTCTCTAAGCAGGAAAGAAATATGGGGAACAACTCAGAAGCAAAGAGGCAAAGAGTGAATTAGCAATAGGAGATGAGGCACCCGGAGAGGAGGCGAGAAGCAGGCTGACAGCACAGCACCGGGGGGCCAAGTTTAACACAAATAGATATACATGATTCGAAAGCACATTGGGACAACGTGGTGGTAATGAATGTTGCTGATGACACCTATTGTATCTATCATCTATAGCAGGCTCTCTGCTGGAAGTTCTTATAGCAAACCAAGTTATTTTCTGGGCATGTAAGGACCCAGGTGACCTCTTTGAACTGTCACTGACATAGGCAGCCCTGTCTCTGGTTCTATGAGTCCTTCTCTGTTCCTCACCGCTTACTATCTATGGGACGTATCCTCTGAGCCTCTCTCTTTTCTTTTCTACATTTATTTCTTTGGAAGTTTCTTCTCGTTTTGGTTTAACCTGTAATTTCTAGGTGTGTGACTCCATTCCTTCACTTCAGTTCTTATCTTTCCTGTGCCAGCTGCCATAGCGATAGCATTAACATCAGCAGGTACCCAGCACTTGACAACATTCAAACAGCTTCCACTTGATTCTCACCAAGAATCAATGATATGATGTGGGCAGGAGGGCTTTTTTTTTTTTTTTTTTTTAAAAAGGAGTGTTAGTTCTTTATAAATTTTGGCTATCAACCCCTTATCAGATGTATCATTAGCGAACATCTTCTCCCAGTCGGTTGTCTTTTCGTTTTGTTGATGGTTTCCTTTGCTGCACAAAAACTTTTTGGTTTGATGTAGATCTTTACGAATTATTGTTTTGGTTTTCCTTGGATAAATGCCCAGAAGTGCAATTGCTGGGTCAAAAGGTAGATCCATTTTTAATTTTTTGAGGAACCTCCATACTGTTTTCCATAGCAGCTGTACCAATTTGCAATTCCCACCAACAGTGTATGAGGGTTCCCTTTTCTCCGCACCCTCGCCAACACTTGCTGTTTTTTGATTTATTGATGATAGCCATTCTGACAGGTGTGAGGTGATAGCTCATTGTGGTTTTAATGTGCGTTTCTCTAATAATTAGTTACGAGAGTCCTTAAAAAAATAAGAATAGAACTACCTTATGACCCAGCAATTCCACTTCCGGGTGTTTATCCAAAGAGATCTAGAACAGTAATTCAAAAAGATATACGCATCCCTATGTTCATTACAGCATTATTCACAATGGCCAAGATATGGAAGCAACCTAAATGTTCATTAGTAGACGAATGGATAAAGCAGAAGTGGTTCATATATACAATGGAATATTACTCAGCCATGAAAAAAGAATGAAATCCTACCATTTGCAACGACATGGATGGATCTAGAGGTTATTATGCTGAGTAAAATAAGTCAGGCAGAGAAAGATAGATACCATATAATTTCACTTATACGTGATATCTAAGGAACAAAAAGAACAAACTAATCAAAACTGGACTCACAAATATATTGAACAATTTGGTGATGGACAGAGGGGAGGGGGATTGGGAGGCTGGGAGAATGGGGTGAAGGGTTAAAGAAGTATAAATTAGTAGTTGATAGTTGGGCACAGGGAACATGGAAGAGGGAATGTAGTTAGCATTAATATGATGGCTAAGTGGAGGGCCAGGGGAGGTGGGGTGCAATTGGGAAGATCGTTTTATGAACATTATAGATGTCTAACCAATGTACTGTATACTTGAAACTAATTTAAATAAACAAATTTATTTTAAAAAATACTCCTATAAAATAAGTAAATCTAAAAAAAAAAAAAAAATGGAAATCAAGGTGGGAAAGTTCAGTGACCGCCCAACATCACACAGTCGAAAGGTGGTGGGACCAGACGTGGGTTATAGTCCCAGGGTAGGAGCCCACGGGTAAGTGACGATGTTTCCAGCAAATGTGCTGTTATTCAATACATTAAACTTAAGCCAAAGAGGAAGGCAGTAACAACTCATAGTAAGTCTACAGAATTTGTCCAAGACCATGAATTTAAGCTCTTAGGAACATATGAGCCTGTGAAGAGTTTTCTGGCTCATTTTTAGGTTTTCTAAATGCTTTATGTATTCAATATTTTAAAAAGGCACCTAGATCGTGAATTTGAGATGTAGATATGGTTGTAGGGTAAAGAGCTTCTACTGAAAGATGATTTGCAAAAATGTCTTTAACATAGTACTTAGAAGTAATTTTATGGGTCAAATATCTGTTCAGTCTTCTGCCCACATAGAAAATTTTGCCCTAAACTAAATTAAAAGGTTGGTTAACATTAATGGCGAAATACTGGTACTAGGTTAACATTTACAAAAAACTATTTTTCAGAAAAGAACATGCTTGGTATTCGATGCGAACCGATCAATTAATTGTTGTGTTTATTCTGAAGCTTTTATTTTGGAGTCCTAGGTTGCAAATGACATGTTTAATGTTTACAACAGGTATTAGAAATTGAGATGTTTTTTTATTTCTACTATTTTAGAGTAAAATTGTAGATAATGTTCCAAACCACCATCAAAAAATGCAGAGCAAACTTTTCTGTATATAAACTGTACATAAAAACAAGGCACTATACATTTTGGGGAGATATTAAGGTAGAAAGGTGGATTCGCACAGATCCCATGCCAGGAAGTACACATTTTTTGTTCATTTTAGCACCGGAAGCAGCACTCAGAACAAGTCAGACCTAATGCTGTAGGAGACGTTTCTGAACACGTGTGAAGATACGTATCAGTGGCAGAGCTAATTCCATAGAAGCAACTCCAACTACTTTTTAATATTATTTTGACACCAAAAAAAAAAAAATCTTAAAAGTGAATGAATACATATTGCTTTGTTAAATACATATTTGATTTATATGGTGTTTATATAAATATATATATATTTTAGAATCCACAAACTATCAAAAAAACACTTTATAAAGAGAATTGCTTAAAAAAAAAAAGGCAACGCTTAGCTGGAACAGGAGGGCAGCGCTGTAGCAGCGGCTGAGGACCCGCTGCTAAGTGCACCTACGGGTATTTTTATGACCATCACCTGCTGCATCGTGGAAAGAGAGTTTCTGAAGAGTTCTCTTAAACATTTACAAAATACACAACTCCGGGACAAGCAGTAGAGCTCATAACTTCAGGTTTTGAATATTCTGATTAAAAAATATTTTTAAAAAGACCGGTCCAAAAAATATCCATTTTCCTGGTCCATTGGTATTGAAAGTGGTAACAGAGGTTCTGCCAGTATCGGTTCCGCCAGCATCTCTCGGCTCAAAACAGACCTTTTGCTTTCTTCAGGTTCACCTGCTTCCAGGCCGGAAGTGCACTGTATTCCTCTCTCGTCATGTCTAGTGCAAACTGGAAGAATAGAGAGAAATGCCCAGGGGCTGAATAAAAGGACTCCTGCACCAGCCCAGGTGTGGCTTAATTGCTATCACACCTGGAGAGACACTTACCTCGAAGTCTTCATCGGTGAGATAAATCTCAAGCTTTAGAGGGTCAACGCCCTCGGGCAGTGGCCTGGCTAGCAGATCAGCCAGAGGATAAATGGTTTTACAGAGCTTGGCTAACACGTCTTCCACAAGGGTGATCTGATTCGAAACTTCTGTGTCCTAGAGAAGAGAAGGGGGCGGAGAGGAGAACTCTGTGTGTCCCATGTCTGAACATGCTCTATCCTGTGCTGCAAACACACAACCCAGTCCGAGCCCCACCTGGCTCGGAGACCCTCGCTCTGGAAGAAGCAGGGCTCTGAAGTGGACCAGAATTGCCCAAAGCCCCTCAGTTCTCCTGACTGACTAGTTATCCCCTCACCCCACTATAAAGTTTAAACGAATCCTTAGGGCGGCCTCAAAAAAAGGCTTAGGGAATATCACATGAGTGAATTATGGCATATGATCATTAAATACGAAGTCTAAACACCAGAGCATTCGAATAATGAAATTTGTGTAAAAATATTTTAAAATACTTAACCATAAGAGGGATTGCACTACTCCCTTTCCCCCACAGACTCGTTACTTAATCCATAATAGAAAAAGAAGGTAAGAAAATGCATCTAGAATATTCTGGGGCTGAATCAAGATTTTTTTTTTAACCACTATATGCATTTAATCTGAACAGGTTATTCAGGTAAATTGTCTTCCTCTGTTAAAATTGGGATCCCAGGTTGGCTGCCCCGCTTTTGGGTGGGAGGAATAAGTGGCTAACAGCGCAGCAATACACAGACTAGCAATCAAGAGGTGGTTTTCAAGCGAGTCTGAGACTGGGAACAAGCTACCTCATGCTTCTGTGCCTTGGCTCCTTCGCTGGTAAAATGGGGCTAGTAATAAGGTGAATCTTAATGAAGTGTTGTGAAGATTAAAGGAGAAAATCAATATAAAGCGCTTGGAGCCATGCCTGGCACACAGCAAGCTCTCAGTGAATGTTAATTATTATTACAACTTATCGGTGTGGGAAGCCCAACTGTCTATTCACTGGCCGGAAGCCCACCCGCGGGCCTGCAGAAAAATGGCCCTGATTTATGTCCTTGAACTTAGACTGCAATGACAGTGCTCGTATTCCCCAGAGCTTGGAAGTTTCCTGGATCACATATTCATCGTGAACAGAGCCCTCCCACGGTGTTCGTGTTGGTCAGCAGGCTGCCTTAGCCCCTGTGAAGATCAAGTCCATTCTGCTGCAGGGAGAGGATAGGACCAGCAGTGATGCCTGTATTATGAAATGGGCTCCCTCCGTTGTTAAGCAGCGGGGAACTTTTATTTGTTTAAACTTATTCAGACCTCCTATGAAATACACTCTTGTCATCCTCTCCCTCCCCGCCGGAAAGCAGCTCTCCCACACAGTAAGAAAAGCAAAACGGAACAAACCTATTTTCCACCCAACCAAAAATACCCTTCAAATGCTATTGCTGGCAATGTAAAAAACTTATAAATTAAAAAATTCTACATAGCTGTAGGAAGCTTCCTTTTTTTTCTGTGCAGTTGGAAATGATAACATTCTGGTTTGTAATTTTTTTTTGGCAATAGAGATTCTGATAAATGTCTCATGTGGCAATACCAGGTGGTCTCATAAAAGACAATATTAATGAGATAGTGAGCAGTTCCTTATCAACAGTGACTCACAATACAGTCGTTCAGTCAGTTATCTGCACATGTTAATTCATCGCGGAGTTATTTTGTGTCTCTTCTAATACAAGGTCAACATCTGAAACATGAGCATTTTGTTGTGCCTTACGTGGACCTTGAGAAGCAACAGATTTTTAGCTAACAATAAGAGACAGTGGCTTTTATTTATGGATATTTTCAAAGTAATTAAATTCATCTTTGCTTTTAAGATTTTTAACCTGAGTAGCACGTGTAGAAAATTACCAAAATACTTCAATTGGTTTCTCCTTGGGCTTTTCCTCTTTCTAAGCTAATTCTGTGTAGACTTGTTAACATGTTGTAAATGTTCTCACTTTGAAAATGCAATCGGATGCTTCTCCCCAAGGTCAAGTCCACCCACGATCCCGAAGGCGCGGAGCCACCTTCGCAGGGACGGGGGTGCTCACCATCTCTGTGATCTCGGCAATGTCCTCTCTGTGCTCCCAACTGGGAAACATATTGGTGAACGTCAGGGGCTCCAGACCAGCGTGGATCAGGTAAGATTTGGGGGGCGGCTTCTTGATATTTTTCCCTGTGGTCAACATAAAATGCAAGTGTCAGTTCACCCAGGGTGGGCCCAGAGACCCCAAACTTTCTTTGTTTGGATCTCTTGACTTTATGTTTAAAACAGAAGTTATGGGTAGTTCATAACAACACACGGATGATGTTTATACAACATGTTAATTTTATGCATACGACAATGCATAAAATTGCATGTAATCAACCTGACTCTACTTCCTGAACATAACAAAATGCTTCTAGGTCCTTGGATGGGAGAGAGCCTCTCTCTGTGGCTGCTGGGCGGGACACTTTCTTCCTCCCTGCACTCACCTGTAGAAATATTCCTCTGACTTCCTAACTCGGGGTTAAGGTCAATGTGAATTAAACAGCTAATTAAAGCATTTTATAAGCCACTTTAGCGTAAACATTTGGTGGGAAGTTTAATTAGTTACTTATTACTAAAGAGCTTTTTAAGAAGGGAATCCATCGTACACTTGGTGACACTAATCAAGCGAACCTTAAAAATTCAGATAATAAATTACTGGCATTTTCATTTTATATAGAAGACCACAAATTTTAAGAGGACAATACAGTAAAAACCCATGAATTGATTACAGATCTTTCTTTTTAGCTATCACACAAAAATAATAATAAATGGAGACAAGGTTGCCATTGGCTTTCCAGCCTGTGTGGGGAGCTTCCTACTCCCGGTGTGAGGCTGCGTGCAGTGTGGATGGTGTGCGGGTGGAGGCCGACGTGTCCCACAGTGTGATTAATGCTGAGTGCAAAAGGGTTTTAAGCAGTCCGGGGCATTCCACAGTATACACGACCCTTGGACAACCTGGGAGGCGGGGGCGGATTAAGGGCACCGATACCCCACGCAGTCAGAAATGCATATATCACTTTTAACGTTCCCCAAATTTAGCTGTCCCTTGGTATCTGCAGGGGATTGGTTCCAGGACCACTTGCAGAGACCAAAATTCATGGATGCTCAAGTCCCCTATATAAAATGGTGTCGAGCAATGCACACAGCCAGCCTCAGCATCTGCAGACTCCTAACCGCACATCGAGAATACTGGTTTCGATTTGCACTTAGTTGAATCTGTGGATGTGAAACCTGTGGATGTGGAGGGCCAGAGTTTTTCAATTTTTATTGAAAAAATCTGTGCATAAGTGGACCCACGCAGTTGAAACCCGTGTTGTTCAAGGGTCAAGTGTAGAGCATTTAACCTGTAGGGTAACGAGTCAGATGGATTCACAATATAAAAGAGAAAAATGAAATCTCATTCATGTTGGCAGCTGAGAATATTCTAATTTCAAAATAAATAAGCCTCAAAAGTGAAAGGGACAAACTATTGGTTTCGTCGCTGTCTGGTAGGCTTTATCAAGGCTGGCCGGCACACGCAGAAAGGGACTCTGACCTAGTCTGCAGAAAACCAGCTGGGCACCAGCCTCTGGGCGGACGCTGGCCGCTGTGCTCAGGGTCTCCTGGCCTGCCCGTCGCCCCGGCCCCCTGCCCGGGGACACTCACCTCTGCAGTACTGGAGCACGGTCTCCATGGCGCTCTTTCGGTCAGAGGCCCAGCGCATGCGGGCAGAACCGGTGATCTTGTTTTCGATGGGCCACCAGCCTTGCCAGAGGTACACCTCATGGTGATTGTCAACAAGGAAAAGTGCTGTGAGGGCGAGGACAGACCAGGCAATCAGGGGCTTTGGACGCTTCTTTTTTTTCCCAAACCTAACAGATGCCTTCCCCCCGCCGGCCCCTTTGTCAGCGGGAGAATCCCCTTGGCAGTTAAATTCACGGGCAAAGGGAGGGTCTTCATAACACCTCAGCCCTCTGAACAGTGACTCAGGACAGACCGCTAGGCAGAAAGCGGTGGCGTCGGTGAGGCAGGCCTCTTCCCCTCCCTCACCTCGTATATCCTCCAGTTCCTTCTCCCTTCGCCCCTCCCTCCTCCACCGCAGGCCTGCCACAGGCCCTCTGGGACACTGGCACTGGCAGGGTGCTGAGAGTGGAAGGAAGAACACACGTGCCACTCGAGGCATCGTTAGCAGCGCTCATCTCTAAAGAGCATCTGAAAAGCTGCGGAGCCCATTGCACTTGCCCTGCACGTCACTGAAGTTCACGCCCATGTATGGCTGCCTTGCAGGTAATATAAGTCCGTGGCTGTTAGAGAGAAATGGACCTTAGACATCAAGTGTTCCAACTTATTCTCTCCATCGAAGTCTGCCTGGCTCTACTTGCTGTGGCAAAGGGGATCTCACTTGTGAGCTCAGCTCACCCTGAGTCCTTTCCTAGCACACCGTTTAGGATTCTGTGAAAGCCACACACTTGAAAAGCCAGAGGAGGTAGATAACCCATCCTGAGTCAAAGGATGAAGAGGGGCGGGTAGCAGCCCCCTATGTAAGACACCTGGCTGATGTTTCCCACCGTATGACATGTGCGGCAGTCAAGTTTTTGAGGTGGTGACCTGGGCAGCCAGCGGCGGCTGAGATTCCTGGCTGTGGCTCCAGGCTTTTATAATGGGGGAGGGGAGCAGCCATGAGTGCAGGGACCGCTGACCTCAGGCTTGCCTGTGGCGGGGCAGGGGTGGTGTCTACACAGCCCAGTCTCCAGTGACTGCCCCAGCAGAAGCAGAGCACAGAGGCTCTGTCTTGAGGTGGTGGCCAAGTGGAAACAGACCTAACCTTGGGGTTGAAAGACACGGGTGCGAGCCATGGCTCTGCTGAGCAGCCTCGGCACGGCAGACACTGTTCTATGCCTAACTCAGCAGATACGCCCAACTTCCTGCTCCTTGGCCATGTGACAGAGCTCTGGCCAAAGGGGTGTAGGCAGAAGTCTGCTGGGGGCTTCGGGAAAAGCTTTTGCTTTATCCGATAAAAGGGAGCGATGTGGCCATTCCTGCCCTTTCTTCTACCCCCTTTTTTTCTGTCTTGAACAAAAGCGTGGATGGCGGGAGCAGGGGCAGACAGCTGGGGACCATGAAGCAAGACTTAGGGAAGGCTGGGAGAGCCGCACACACCAGGCCTGACACCGCTGTGCCCATACTATTCTTAACTGGTATGTTCGGGTGAGTTAAGTAACCGAGCCTCAGTTTCTTACAATAGGTGTTTGATGTCACTTTCCTTTTGGGGTAGATGTGGGGATTAAAAGAGATAACATAAAAAAAAATAGTTCTGACAGTGCCCTGGACAAATAAAAACTGCCTAATAAATGCAGAATGAAAATAAAAAGGCTTTTCGGAACGTACGTCTTCTGCATGACTACTGCCCTCTGAGGGCCGTACCTGGCTGCGGGGCACTATACAGATCTTCCTGCAGGAAGGGCATGGAATTGACCACAGAGGGTTCTCGGGCAGGATACATGAATTCTGTGGCCAAGAAATCTCCAGAGCAACTGCTGAGGATGAACAGGCGGGGTGTGAAGTTAAAGTTCCCAGGATCTTGGAAAGAAAAGAGAACAAAGCTAAAGAGAAAATATTCACCAAAGTAAACTTCAGATAGATTGGAGAATTCACGTAAAACACAAAATAATCAAAGAATTAGTATTAAAATACGTAGGGTTTATATGAGCTTGGAGGTGGGGAAGGCCTTTTAAATCATAATTGCAAAAGAAGCCATCGAAGGGGAAGGGATTTATGCATTGACAACATAAAAATGAAAAATTACATTGCAAAAAAATAAATAAGCCAACAAACAAAATCAAAAGGTAAATAACAAAATGAGAAATAAGGAAACTCGTTAATATCCTTAGCATATAAACAAAAATTGCAAAAAGCACAAATAAAACATTCGCCAAAGTAGAAATACAAATGGCTGAAAAATACGTATAAAAAGTGCTTAATGGTACTTCTAATTTAAGATATTGAGTTAAAACAGTGCCTAGACAGCATTTTTCCTCATCAATTTCAGCAAAGATGAAAAAGGTAATGTACCGAGTCCATGACTGTGCTGGGAAATGTACACTTTTGTATATTGCTGGAGAGAATGCACCTTGGTGCAAATGTTCTTTGACACACTCGTTGATATGGAATATAAGACTTTTATTAGTTGAACACAGCAGATCCATATCTAGATCATTATTTTAAAAATTATTCACAACTGTATCATTATAAAAAAAGAAACTGGAAACAACTCAGCTCTCCAACTTTAAGAGAGGTTAAGTAGCAAATGTCCTATATTATAGAATAGTCATGGAAATTGTTCGTAATAAATTAAAGGGAAAAACTAAGGTACAAAACAATACGTATAATGCTATCCAAATTTTATTTTTTTTAAAAAAAGGTATGTATGTATAACAGAGAAATGTTAATTTTGGTTATCTTTGAGATGTGATTACAAGTGACTTATCTTCTTTAACTTCTCTGTCTTTCAAACATTCTCCATCACTAATATACATTATTAAAAAAAAACTATACACAAGTTTATAAAAATTGAGAGGCAGTACAATGGCGTGCTTACGAGTACACACCGCTGTTGTCCAACCTTGGCCAAGATAATTAACTTCGCTGTGCCTCAGTTTCCTCATCGGTAAAAATGGTAGAGTGTTGAATTGTGAGAATTAAAAGAGTTAATGTCTGTCAGGTGCCTAGTGCCTGCATCATCCTAACTGCTTAATAATTGCTAGCTTTTCTTCTTATGTTAATCTGCATTTAAGTTGATCTGTATGTATTTTGTCTTTTGTGCATTTAAACACAAAACTGATCTACTGTCCAATTTAAACTCTACTTCTCTGCACCCCGGGTGCTGGCGCAACTGAAATCATCTTGTTTCAAAGGTTCACATTGTGTCATTGTTCGTCTGATTCCCTGGAATTTTCTTCTCTTTTTCCTTTTTCTTCAAGTCATACCTACCTCCAGCTCCCTGTAAATGTCACATTTTCATGGATCTGGGTGTGATTTTTCCTGGCAGAAGTAATGTTTTTCTTTTTAAACGCTCAGCCTTTTTCACCTGTACCTCTTCGTGACACACACAATTTTTATTTGGCATTGTGATCAGGCAGACATATTACTTAGCCTCACTGGGTTGCAGGCCTGTGAGGACCTCGCTTGGGTTTAATTCATTGTCTGTTGTCCACAGTAGGTGCTCAATACCTACATGTCGAATACATTAGTGATCAGAGGCTGTGGAATGTGGTATTACCTTGAAGCATGCAGTCGTAGGCTTTCCTGTCTCTCCTTCCTAATGCATCCCAGAATCCCAGAGGCTCAGAGCCTTCGTCACACTCGTGTATTGTCACTTTGCTGCTGCTATGAAGTCCTGCTTCCAGGGGGCATCTGCATAGAGACCAATAGTTTTTTTTTTTAAGCTTTGGAAGTTTTGGCAGCACAAAATTATTCAAGACCAAGTCTAAAGATGAGTTCAGCATCTCTTTTTTATTTTTGAACTGAAATAATTCTTACTAATGAATAAAAACATGCTCTGTAGCTTATGAGTGTGTAGAGGTTGGCTTGGCCCTTAGAGAGGAACGTGCAATTACATATAAGATGCAATGAACATGATGTCCACTTATGGATATAACATACACATTTGCTGTTCCTGGTCCTCTCTTGCTGGAACATCAGGTTCATGGGAACAAAGACTTGGTTTGCTCACTGGCCAGTCCCTAGTCCCTCAATCTGTGCTTGGCACCAACTGGGCACTCAATTTTCATTGAATGAATGAGGGAATGTGTTCCTCATGGATTTGTTTTCTCTTAGGGGTCCAAGCAAAAACTCCGATAGGCCGCAAGTGCCTTCAGATACCTCCTGGAACGTCATTTATCACCCTTCCCCACTCGCTGGCCCTCAGAATGGTGTTTTGAGATGAAACATCTTGCTTCGCAGCCATCTGCTTGTTGAAAGGCTGCTTGCCTCCCTCCTTCTCCCTGCCCTCCCCAGGTGGCACTAGGCTTTAGGGGGATCCTGAGCGAAGCAGGCCACACTGACCCGTCTTGGTGCCCAGACAATGGATTTTGCCTACTTGTACTTTGGGGGTACCAGGAAACTCTTCATTTTTATTGTACAGATGTTACCAAGGTCCCCCCCAAGTCTCGGCCTGAGAAATGCTGGGCATCTCCTGGATGAGGGGGGACACTGAGACCTTTTTTTGCTACTTGCAATGCCCATTTTGCACAGGCTGCTAGAAAGTGCAGTGTCCTGGCAGCAGCCCACCTCTAGACAGGTGACTGTCCTTTACAGCCCACCCCTGGGTCCTCGCTTAATGCTGCAGCATAGTGTACTCTCCCCGCGTGCCTGCCTGAGAGAGGAGCAAACCCCACACCTGTGTGCTGGGCCTGAGACGTGCCCCAGGGGCCTGACGACTCACTGTCTGGTGCTGCCTTTGAGAATGCAGAAATACAGTCACTCTCTAAAGAGGGGGCATCTTATAGTCTGGCACAGCTGGTGGTAGCCCAAACTCCTCATTAGCTAAATGGAGTTAAAAAAAAAAAACATTCCACTATCTGACAAAATTAACACTCTGACCTGCTAAGAGATATCTGAAATTTGCTCTCTTTAAGTAGCAAAGGACTTACAAAGAAATCACAGCTACAAAGAAACTGAAATACTTGCTGGGGTCCTGTCCCTTGCCCGTCACTCTGCCTGTTATTGAGGCAGGTACATCCTCAGAGAGTGGACGAAGCCCTCACGTTGGAGGTTTTGGTTGAGATGTGCATCAGATATACTTGGGATGTCAGAGGTCCTTGACAACGGTCATAACTACCTTGTCGAGTCACTGTCAGAACACATAGGTACATCCACTGAGACTGCTGGGAACCCTTCCCATCACCTTCTGCATGTCCCATGGGAAGCCCCGGCCAGAAGGAGCTGTCACACACATAATACTCACTGTTCTTTGATTTTATTTGCTGCCGTCCTTCCAACCTCTTTTGTGTGGGCCTGGGCTTTGCATCCGTGCCACAGGTAGATGAGGGCTTTATTTACATTGAGGACAACCATGGATGTCCTGGACCTCAAACTGCTACAGTGACAGGCCACTTCCAGCAAATTTCCTTCCATGGGCACCTCTCCCCGCACACAGTACAGCCTCCACTCACCTGCAGGGGGCACCAGCGGCACAGGGTTAGCCTGGCGGTGTGCTTGACAAAGGAAAACTGCCTAAAAAATGCAAAGGGTAAGGCAGACCTGCCCTTCTGGGTCCCTGCTCAGTGGTCAACAGCAAACACCACCCTGTGACTTAAGGGAAGGTGGAGGCTGAGGTCACGCTGTGGCTGAAGTCAGCGGCTGTCTCACTGCCAACCCAGAGGACAAATCTTTTTAGAGCTTGAAGCAGGTTGCCAAAAGTTCGTGATGCAGATAAACCATTTTTACAAAATTTATAAATGCCTAGGTAAGTCATATAAAGGCTCTAAAGCTAAGGTTTTTTTTTTTTGGATGCTGGCCAATAAAAGTCTCATAATTTATAATAGGAGATCCACTGATTTTTTTTTTTTCCTCCTAAAAAGAGACAGAGTCACTGGGAAGATTCCATTTAAGGTGAAGTAATCTTCCAGCCTCCATCCAGCATGCCACAGCTGGGTCCTGAGGTCCACTCCACAGGAGGGGAGAGCGTTATGAGCCTCTCATCAAGCTGATTCAGGAGGCAGACTCTAGGAGGCATTCGGTGGTAAAGCCATGCTCCGCTACATGAAGAGAGAAGTACTTTAAACCCCCACGCCTATAAAAATACCTTCCAGGAGAGGGAAAAAAATCGAATTGCAACTGAAGAAGTGACTCACTTTGCGCATTTTCTTCCTCCTCTTCACGTCTCCCGGAGTGCACCACCATCCCCCCCTGGAAGCACTGCAGAAAACAGGGGGGCTCCTTTCCCTGGAGAACCTGGACCTTCCGATTTAAGCACATTCAAATAAGTATTATGTACCGGTTTTTCAAAGGCATAAAAATAAGACGCGCCTATCGCACAAAAATCGGAAAAACATCCAGAAGCACAGACAAAAGCCAGTGACGTTACTATTACCTAAAGATAACCACTATTAAAATTCTAACATAGAGCTTTCTTTTCAAAGTATTTTTCAGGTATATAGTTGTTTTTCAAACAAAAGCAGGATTGCTATTTTATGATGCTTTCTACCCTTATTTTCTTCACTTAACGTTTGTCTGTTATCGAATATTTTTTTAACGTGAATTTTGATAGATAAATGGTATTTCGTGGTATAGATATAACACAATTGATTTAAATGCATTATTAACAATATGTACTTCTCAGCAGTGAGGATGACTAACCACTGACTTAGTGATTCTGAGGGAAAGAACTGTCTCCTTCGCAACCTGAGTCTGGTCACAGAGACACGCGCCTACCAACCTCAGCCTCCCCTCGCCTGTCAACACCTGCGTTCTCTTCCATCAGGTGTTAGCTGCATCATAATAATGTTAGGGTTGGGGTTCGGTTAATTCACTCTCCCTTTGGCAAGACATTTTCCCTTGAAGAGGAAATTGTTGTTGGAGGCTGCAAGTCCAGGAACACTGATGGTAGGAGGCATTTCTCACCAGGAGTTAACTTATCAATCTCAGGGCTCATTTAGCATAATTAAGTGCTGTTTTGTGGCAGTGCTTTATATGCCTAGTGATTTTCCATCTGTTGGATTAATAAAAAAAAATGAAATGCTCCAACTAGAGAGATGAAGCCTTAAAACTCTAAGGATGATTTTGAGGGTATGATTAAAACATAGTCATTGATGGCTTTTACGAAAAAAGGCAGTTGAAATTACCTACTATTACAAATAAGTGAAAATTCAATGGTCATTAACAACTACTTGTAAAATATAGTCCACAGTAGAAGATGATTGTTTCTTAGGAATCCAGAAGGAAGAGTGAGTATTATTCTATTTCTGGAGAAAATTCCTTTGTTCTCTCCTTTCCTGCTGTTGTTAACTATTCACCCACCGTAGGAAAAATATCTGCACATAGTGTCATATTTCCCCAAAACCCAGAGTCGGCTCTTTATTACTGGCACTGAAGGGTGGAACCTGAGGCCCAGATAATCCAAACGCTAGAAAGAACGTTTACAAAACCTTGGATGGGGGCAGTAGTGTCTGCCTGCCATTATTCAGGCCCTGGGGTTATACCGGTGACTAAGACCAGGACAGAATGGTCTCTTTAGTGTTTGTAGGGGAAAGACAGGTAATAAATAAGTAAACAGAATGGCTATGTAGTTTCATGCAGTGGGAGGTGCTATGAAAAAATAATGCATAGTGAAGGGGCAGGGAATGACGGGAGAATGGGGGAGGGATTTGGATAAAATAGGGAGGCGACACTGAAACATAAACCCAAATCATGAGGTGGGGAGTTACATACAAATCTGGGGGAAGTGTGCCAGACAGGGAGACAGCGCAAAGGCCCCGGGTGGGCGGAATGAGGTGTGTCTGAGGAACAGCAAGAAGGCTGGAGGAACCGGGGGCTGGTGCGAGACCAGGGGAGGTTGGAGATGTATACGGGGCCGACCATGAAGGTGCTGGGAGACCACTGGGAGGCCACTTAGATTGTAGGTCAAGTGTGACAGAGAGCAAGGGAGTGACGTGATCTGACGTGTTCTAGAAAAATCCCTCAGGCTGCTCTGAGGAATGCAGATGACGGGAATACTAATTTTTACACGAATCTCTGATATTTCCTTAGACTAGAATTGTGTAAGCGGAATAACTGAGGAAAGTTTATGAATATTTTAAGGTTCCCGAGCCAAAACTGTTTCTCAGGGTGGCTGTTTCAAGTTCTACCTCCAACAGAAGCACAAGAAGTTCCTCGTGTGACTGCGTCCTAGACAGCCTGGGTCCGTCTGCCTTAGAGCATCTCTACCAAGTTTAGAAGTGGAAAATAGCATCTCTTTGTTTTATTTATAATTCTTTGATGATTAGTTAAGTGGGACCTTTTAAAAAACACTCATTGGCCCCTTGTCCTTATTTTGCAGATTTACTATTTGCAGATACAATATTTTATTTCAGATCATATTTACTTAAGATACAATATTTTATTTAAGATCTTCCAGGCCAACCTGTGGGGAGATGAAAGATGAGACGCAGCCTGAAGTCTGGAGAAGCCGGACAAGGACTAAAAAAGTATGTTGGGCGAGTTGTCTTTGTTCACTAAAACTGGGTCCTTAGGGGACCTGGCTACACATCCCAGAGCTCCTGAAGGGACATCTTTCTCACTTCCGGTGCAGCAGCTTTCCAGGACCTACCTGGGCACCCCTTTCTTCATCCAGCTCTACGGTCATCAGAGCCGACGTGCCCTTCTCACTCACAGTCGACTGCCGGCCTTGCCAGAAGAAGTAGACACACTTCTCTTTGCCAGCCACCCTTATGGAATGCTCTCCCTTCTGTCGACTTCCCACTGCAAACACACAACATAGCAGAGGGCCAGGTGAGTGCCCAATAAGCCAAAAGAAGAGCAAGTACACGGCTCACTTACTCTTTGTAAGGACAAACAGTAAGGAAATAGCTTTTGGGCAATGGGCTGAGGAGAAATCATTTATCACTGGAGGGCAAGTCAATCACACTGCAGGAGAAGAGAAAAACCACCTTTCTTCTAGCTAACTGATCCTGAGACCTGGAGAAAAGTGATCTGAAGGGCTCTCTTGATACCCTAGGAAAAACACCTATTATCCTAGAGGAAGATGCGGACACTCCAAGTGATCGCCAGAGCAGGACTTGTGGCTTTCAAAGACGCAAACGCATTTTCCGTATTACACCATTCTTGGGCAAAAGATTAGCTGGTGGACAAAAGATATTGAAAACAGCAGCTGGGCCAGCTTTAGGCACAAAGGAAAAATATTTAGTCTGTTAAAACTATTCCAGTTGGGGAAAAAAAAACACAACACTTTGAAGTCTCCAGGTTCTGTCAGACATGGAAGAGACGAATTGCTGACATATCATTTTCATAAAAATAATCTGGGACTTAAATAATATCTGTCACCAGGGCTGTAGCCAGGATTAGTAAGTGCTGGTTATCCTTACTGTCTGATACCTGGCAGGCATTCGATACATGTCAGCAGCCCACGGAAGGCAGGTCTCGCTGACGAGCTGTCACGGAAAGTTAACTGGTCGAGTTGTCATTTTAGACAGTATTTCAGACCACAAAGTCACTACCTATAGGAATAGATCTCACTCCAGAATCCCCTCATTCATTCATTCATTTAGCAAATATTTATTGAGTATCTACTATGTGCCAGCAACTCTTTAGGATACTGGGACTACAGTGATGAGCAAAACAGAAGAGAAGAGAAAAATGAGAAGAGAAAAACCACCTTTCTTCCAGCTAACCGATCCCGAGACCTGGAGAAAAGTGCCTCGAAGGGCCATCTTGATGCCCTAGGAAATACACCTGCAGCACCCGAGGAGGTGATTAGGACAAGACGCTGACCCACCAAGGCCTCTGGTCTCTCTTCTGTGGGGCCCAGGGAGCTGGCCTCGCTGCGTGCCTGTGTGGACTGGCCAGTGTCCACCAAGGGGATGATCGTCCTGCCTTGGCTGCTGATTTCTGCTGAGCCTGTCCCAAAAGAATGTCCCAAGCTCCAAGTTCAGTCCTGTTTGCAGGTGCAGCCCTTGTGGGGTATGAGTGATGAGGAGCAGGACTAGCCGTCACCAAGGGGCCAGTGCTTCTGTGGGGATCTCGGTGTGACTGCAAGTGACATTGGCCTACGCTTTCCTGCTCCCAGAGGGATGGTCTGGAATCTGAATGCTCCCCACTATAACTTAATTCTCTGCAGCTGGACTTCTTCTAAATTATAACTTTGCTCATAAAGGTACTGCTGGGTCCGGCTGTGAGATGAACACATTATTGATTGGGAAGAAATGCAGAAAGTATTTACCTGGCCCGAATCCTTGTTTCCCAGGCGCCTCCAAATAAAGAGTCTATGAAGGTCTCAAATCTTAGATTTATTTTTAAATTAATTCATTTTAATATTATTCGTTCATTCATTCACTTGCTATTACTTCTTTTTTATAACAGCTAAAGTAAGGAAGTGACTCAATTTCACACTGAGGAGCCCGTCGGTCTCCTTTTGTAAAATATGCAATTCCCTTTCTGTATTTCAAGAACAAGAACTCTGTTTGCCTTTAAAGGTTGTTCCTTAAAGTTCCCTCTTCTAGAACCCCAAAAGTTACTAGATTTTCTCCCCACTAAATTCCCTCTTATTGTCTTTATGGCCAATCAGCAGCACAGATTAATGCTGAGTTTGCCAACTCTGTGTCACATCAGGGAGCCTGCATCTATGACAGTCACTCACAGGAATTGCTTTTATTTTGGGTAGATCCGTGTTATCTCATCTTCCAGTTAAAGACAGCAATTATGCTGTTGCAGCTGAGAACGTCAATGACATTATCTCCTGCACCTAACACGTGAACACGTGGTAGGCAGGCGCTGCACATCATACATACCGGACTATAATATTCTGTGAGCTGGGTGTTATTATCTTTATTTTCCAGGAGAGACAACCAAGGCTCAGAGAGGTTAAGTAACTCTACCCAACTTGCCAACCTGGCATGTAAAGCTTGAGAGAAGATTCAGACCCAGGCCATATGGCCCCAGGACCTGTGATCTTTCCTGCAAGCACAGGGCCTCTTATGAAAGGGAAAGGGGTTTTAGTGTCTACTGTGCTCTCTCCTAGCTGTGACTTCAGTGGGTTACTTGATCTTGGTGCTCTGTTCCTTATCTGAGAAATGAGCATAAGAACTCATCCCATGGACCGTCCGTGAGGCATTCAAATAGAGGCTGTAGTAAAGCCCCCACTGTGTGCCTTGTGGGCTATGTGGACCTCTAGGCCTGCAGCCCGCCTCTGGGCACAACCCTGCACAGTCCCCCTGCCCTGCCTGGCGATGCCATCCATTGGACACCCAGGTCTTGCTCTGCGGGGCTTTTCCCACTGCGGGCAGGTGCCGTCTCAGAAAATCGAGCTCTCCTGCTGCAGCATGAAGTAGTTACCTCTCCTCATACTTGCCTCCCTGTCATTTATACCACAGGCTTCTTGAAGGTGGGGTTTGCAATGTTTACCTGCTTCCCCTAAAAGTCTCTAACACACAGAGTAGGTGCTCAGTAAATGCTGTCGGTTCATTAAAAGACTTATTTTTGATAAATCAGAAAATAATTTCAATGGTACGAAATCTGCAGGTGTTTGATTAGCAAATCAGTGCCTCGCTGAGGCCCAGGGACCAGGAAGGCGAGGGGGCTGCAAGGAGGTGAATCAACAATTTTGGAGCTGGATTTGGAAATCAGAGTTGTGACATAAACTCTCAAATCAGTAGGATGATAAACACTAGGTGTCATGTGGATAATGGCTACGTGACAAAGAAAAGGGATTCTCTCCCCAAAGTTTACTTGCTGTCCTCCCTCATTGCTTCTGGTGCTAAGCGTATCATTGTTTTTCTGTAAAGAGTATTTCACTGGCAGGAACCATGAGTTTGACTATGTATTTACTCTACCAGATCCACAAAGCACTGCTAGGTTCTCGGCCTCTCAGGAAATAGCTTCTTTCATTTTTAATAATTTTTCGTGCATGTCTTTGCTATTACAATACTGTTACTATACCATCTGGTTTCAGTTCTAAGTCATACAGATATGCTTTACTTAAGGACTCCTATTTAAGCAGCCTCCAGCCACATGACAAATATTCTCTAGAGGCAAATCATCGCTTTCCTAGAAAACTGCTGGGGACAGGGCAGAGGAGGGAGTGAAGGTTGTAGAAAAATCTTAACATGCAAGTTTAACCTCTACAAGGAAACACCACAGATGTTGGCAGTGCTGGGTGGTTAGGAATTTGTCTATAGGTTGACTAAGTTGTTCTCAAAGTGAACGACTAGGTTGCATACTGCACCCACGCACCAGGGTGAGACGCGGCACGCAGGGAGTCGGGCGCCAGCAGCGCTGCAGTCCCCAGCCTCGGAGCCGGGGCTGGGCCCGCTTCAGTTTGCAGAAAACGTTAAGTGTCACTAACCTGCGGTGCTCACCATGTACTTCCACTTTACCACGTAGGCGTCCCCTTCGTGGAACTGCCCGATGCTCTGTTTGGGGAGCCTGCTGTAGTCAAATTCTAGGATGTGCCAGACATCCACGGAGACGCTGGCGATCTCAAACTGCCTCCTGTCGCCCCCTTCCACCAGGCCGTAGCCCCGGCCCACGTTCACCCCGTCCAGCACGGTGCCGGCCACCGTCTGGGGCACGGGCACCATGCGGGTTACATCGTATGGCTTGACTTCAGCCCTAGACTCTTCCTAGAAAGGAACAGAGAAAACATCTGTTCAGCCGCCTGTTTGTCCAGCCTTTTCCTCTCACGCTCATGCTGTCTCACTGCTAACGAGACAGCGTAAGAGTGTGTGGCTTTCACACTCTGTCTCAGGGTGTTGAAATGCACTTGGGAAAGGCTGCATTTAGGGGAAAGGCTAGGGGAGGCCTGAATACTCACCCTACCATTGTGAATGGGATGCCCATAAATCCAAAGGTGCAAATAGGGCTATTTTCACTCTCGGAGTTGGAATATAATTGGAAACCAGATTGCTAGCAAACCCTGGGGAGGCTTTCCGCTTCCAGGCCTCTCTCGTTGGGACTGAAATCGGCCCTGAAGTCTGAGGCCTGGCTACCCCGAGTACCTTCTGCTGAGCAAGGTCTCCCGCGTTCTTCTCATTAGGTCTCTTCAGTTCGGTCCAATCGAGAAATTTCTCTTTGAACAAGATAGTCTCATTGTGTTCCGTAAGTCGCCCAAATATTGCCCAGTCAGGCCGCCCCTGTCCTTTTCTGCAGGTGGGTGGGATGGGGGAGCAGACAGGAAGAGAACCAAGATTAAGCCATGCTAAAACGAAGGAAAGGGACCTAAAACAAACGCACGTGGTTATTGAAAAAAAAAAAAAGAATACTTAAGTACTATAGAGAATGAATGGTTTATTTTACTAAATAAGTGACATTTTATTATTTTAGCGCGAAGCCTTGAGAGGTTTTGTATCCCTGGAGTTGATGAGTCAGAATGCAATGCGAACTATATCAGGACTGGACTTTTCTTGCATTCTAGTGGATTCTCATATTTCAGATAGCCTGGGGGTGGTGCACTAGACCGTGAGCTGGGGGAGGCAGAAGTCACATGCATTTGTTCCCCACCTCTTTCACGCTGCCCACAGGCACCTGCGGGTGCTCACCAAGTTTCTGTCAAGTTCACGAACAGATGGGAGTTTCCCCTGAGCTCTCTGCTATTTCAAGCCATGTTACAACCATGTTCTCCACTCTATTCTCCTCTCTTATTAAACTGAACATACTTCATACATCATAAAGTGAATGTTTGCATACTTATTTCTAGGCCACTGGACTCGGCAGTAGGTAGGGGCAGCACAAGGACACCAGGAAGGAAGCGACACAGCCTAACCTGGAGGTCTGCTACTGCCTCGGGACCTCAGAACCCGAAACTGTGCTTGGAATAAAAGGTAACTTAGAAAAAGGTACAGGCATACCTCGGAGATATCGCAGACCACCGCAATAAAGCAGTGTCGCAATAAAGCGAGTTGTAATCTTTTTGCTGGTGGAGGGTCTTGCCTTCAATGTGTAAGAAACGCAACAGCTGTTAAGTGCAATAAAACCAGGTGTGCCTGTGCAGCCGAGAAAGTACACGCTGCGGAGGGTCCAGCCCTGAGAAGAATATGTGGGCATTTCTCATCCTTCCAAACGCACCCTTGGCTGTGAACTGGGCCGGGGATGCGTACATCCCTTCAGACCAATGAGCACGGCCACTGCACCTGCTGTGGCCCCTAACCCATCACTTCCTATTTTGGCCCAGACTGCAGTTTCTGACATCACGGTTGAGGCACATCACAGAGGCTGCCTGTTTCAAAACAGACTGAAATGATACAGCCACCTTATGCTCCTACGGGACGTAAGGAGCCAGGTATCAGCAGCTATGGAAAATGCAGGACTCCCCTTGAAGGGCTGTGGTTTTTCCCAGAGAATGTCTGAACGGCTGTCTTTTATACAAACGCGACTCTGCAGATCTGCTAAGACGTCTATAAAAGGGCACTTGGTTTCAGCTTCAGAAATGTAGCTTTTAAGTTGTGAAGTTGCACAAACACGAGAGGGAGCAGGTGGCAGGGTGAGGGTGTGAAGGGAGCGGGAGCAGGCGAGCTTCTCTCTCCATCCTGACTTACGTGTTTGAACTGGGCTAAGTCATCTCATGTCAGTGGTTTCAGGCTTCTTAAGGAGGGCTGGATGCTAACATTGGCTGTACCTTAAAATCTCTGGGGTTCCTTTAAAACATACTGACACATAAGCACCACCCCCAGGAACTGAAAACACCTCTCCGAGGCTGGGCCTGGCACGTGCATTTTTTTAAAGCTCCGAGGCTGATTTTGATCTGGCGAGTGTTGAAAACCAGGGGGTTAGGTGAGCCCTCCTCTACTTTCAGATCTATGATTATGTCACTGCTAACTCTGAATTGTCTAGCATATGGATTTTAGGCTTCAGCATTTTTTTCTTTTACTACACCAAATAATATATTCTCTTTAGCCTCAGCTTTCGTCTGTAAAACTCTAGTTGTTACTGTACTCATTTCGGGTTAAATGTGTACTTGTTTAAAAGGGATTTAAAAACATTTTACCTACATTGGCAGAATTTTTAATTGTTTCTATAGTGCTAATAATAAAATCAATAATTTGATTTTAAAACAGGAAGCTAGGTAGGAAAGTTGAAATTTGTACACTTGTTCAATGGACACCATTACAATGCAGTTGTGTGATACCTAATATTCTATGCTATTTGGTGGCACATCTATTTCTAACCTATTATATGGCACACGTAATTAAAAACACTTCTTTTTTTCCGGTAGTTAAAAAAAATCCCTTTGCATATAAGAATTATTTTTCTTATGATCATATTTCTTAGAGTTTGTGGATATCTTGCTAACGTGCCCAAATTACTTTAAAAAGTCCAGTACACTGTAGAAAATATTAAAATTACAATCGTTATATCCACAGCATATCCTCTCCCCCTTCTTCCAACTAAAGGCATAAACATCATCTACTGGCAAATAAACAGTAAAGCCTGGAATTCAATGGCTATGCTGGGAAAGTGTGAAATTAGAAAAAAAAAAATGTATTGCTTTTGTACCTTCAGATCAATGGCTAAATTCCAGACCCTGGGAAGTTTTCAGATCAGCATGCATTTGGTTTAAACAGTTGCTATTCATTTGTCACAAGAGCACCTGGAATGCCACAGGTGAGAACAATTTGTTCACTTCAAGAAATAAAAGATAACACATTTTCCAGAAGAATACAGCATCCATATTTCTGTATTAGTTAGGTAAAAGCTAAAGAAATGTTCTTTTTGTGAATATTCACAGTACTGCATTGCAGTCATTTATAAAAACAAAAATCTATGAAGAGTGACATTAGACAACCGTGATAAGAACTGAGGCCCCTGAGGGAATCTGCTCACTTTACAATGCCATCAAGATCACAGGAGTACCTGGGAATAAGTGGATTGCATTCTCCAGGATCCAGAGGGTTAATGTCACAATTCTCATAGTCAAAGGTTCCATTCCATAAGTGCTTTGCCAGCTGAAATGCTATTTTCCGTTGCGCTAATGTAACTTCTTTTCCATGCCACACGTAAACTTCACTACCAAAATCAAACACCAGTACCTGGGAGAATGGCACAGAAGAATTTTTTAACTTCAAGGACAAGCTCCCACTGAATCGAGTCCCTACTGATAGTGAGTCAAACGGGTGACGATAGAAATCCAGATGCAGCAATCAATACAAACGCTAAAAGATCACAAGATGTGACCAGCTGGCACTGCAGAGCCAGCCTTTGTCCCGTGGGTGGGATTTCTATCTCCTTGTCCTAAATGCCCAAGCTAATGTTCCCTCCTCTGAACTCTCAAACCACCTAAAACTTCTGATTCATACACACGTTAAGATGTCTTCCTACCTTTCTTTCTCTCTCTCTCCTCTCCTCACTCCTTTTCTCCCTCCTTCTCTCCCTACGTCCTCTGTTCACTCATTCACTTAGCACATACGGGCCGCTTGTACATGCCAGGGACAGATGACTCAGTATTGTCATCTCTCCTCTAGACGACTCTAAGGCTCTCGAGGGCAAAGACCATACCATACTCATGTTTACAGTAGTGCGTACTGTTTGCTGAATGAATACATGAATGTAATGCTGTTTCTTATTTCCATGCCTACAGTTTATTCTACTCTTTCTTCCTAGAATAATTTCTCCATTTCCAGTAATTAAAGTTCTACTTAACTTTAAACAAAGCTTGAATTCACTTTCTCTTAAAAATTATTCCTGGGTATTTCTTTTCCTGTGAATTTTTCCATTTAGATGTCCATCTATATCATATAATCAATCTAACTTCAGATTACATTCTTTCTAACATTCTTCTATTCAATGAAATCTTGTGTCTTTTTGTTTTTTTTCCCCCTCAATACTTAGAATACTTAACAGTACTGGAAATGTATGTATTTAATAAATACTGGCATGAGAGAAAAAACCTAACATCACCT